CAGGTAGATGTTATAAATTGCTGAGTGTGCACATTTTATAAATTCAGGCTGTAGATGCCCTGGACATGGTCAGAGATGAGATCCTTTTGCAAATAGAGGTTGTAATTAGCACAGTGAGCATGTTAAAATGCAGGCTGTGCATTGCACATGAATAGAGAGTGTCCATTGCAGAGGGATGTTATACTTTGCAGGGTTTGTTCATCTTAAAATTAATGCATTGGATATCTTTAGAAATTGTCTGCAAAGACCAACTGATTGGGAGGGACAGATTACACACCCGCCCCACCACCTGCAGCCATTGGCCCACGAGGCTGTCAATCGAACCGGCTCGCACGGCTATAGGCTATCGCCGTCTGTCCGTCAATGCACCTCCTTCCGTGATTGGCGAAGCTGCGGGACAAAGGAAGTCCCGTTCGCACGGCTGCCACCGATGCCCATTGGTTAGCCTGCATGTCCATCAACGCCGCCCGGCCGGTGATTGGTGGAGACTGTCAAAGGCGGGCGTTTCTCCCACCCCCCCCGCCGCGGTCCCGCCCCTCTCCATGCCCATTGGTTCCGGACTCAGGCACCGCCCAGCAAGTGCCCCTTTTAGCCCGATTGGTCCTGCTAGCCGTCGATCGAGGCCTACACGCACCGCCATTGGCGAGCACTGGAGAAAAGGGTGGGCGTCACGCGACGAACGTCGATTGATTCCTGGTGCAGTCCATCAAACCTCCCCGCACCTCTAATGGTGGGTTGGCACAAAAAGGCGGGCCCCCGACGTCCAGCGCCGATTGGTTCTGGCTGCCGTCGATGAAGCTAACCCGCGTCGCCATTGGGCAGATCGAACAAAGGGGTTGGCGTCGCTCAACCGGATTGGAGGTGTCCCACATCAATCAGGACACAAGCGTGGTGGGCGTAACCCCATCACCTATTGGTCTGCCCACACGTCCATCACTGACAGACACTTACTTCCGATTGGTACAGATCGCCGTCGATCAGGCTGGCACCATGTCCATTGGCTAGGAGCGGACAAAGGGTGGGCACGTTGAGGTCCCGGTGTCCCTCGTGGGTTCCCACGTCTGATTGGATGGCTCGCATGTCCATCATTGTTAGGGGGCGGTATCGGGCAGTCGATTGGTGCAGCCCCACGTCGGTCAGGACGCTGCGGGCGGCGATTGGAGGAGGCGGGCTGTCACTCATCCGGCTGTCCCGCCTTCCCATCCCTCGCTCACGGCGGTGGGCGGCTGGCGGCGGCGGTGGCGGTTTCCTCCTTTTTGTCGGTTTCCTCGGCGGTGCAGGAGGCGGTGGCGGTGAGAGAAGGAGGGGGGAGCCGGGGCTCTCTCTTTCTCTCACACACACACACACGCGGACACCATGGAGGAGAGCGGCCCGAGTGAGTGTTCAAGCGGGAGCGGCCGAACGCCGGGACCGCCTTTTGTGCTTTCTCTCTCTCGGTGCGGCAGGGGGAACCACAGTGACCGGCAACAGCGGGGACGTTTCAGAGCGTGGCACCCGTTCGCTCGCAATGGGGGAGGGTCTTGAA